TTAACTTCTTATGTTATCATAATTTTCAAGTTTTTTATGTTTTTTTTTCATTATGTTTGTTATCTTTTAAGTTAATTAATCCTACTTGTTATTGTTAAGTGTTAAAGGAACTTTAAAAAAATATTATGAATTGATATCAATTTCATTACAATGTATTTAAAATAACCAAGAATTTTCTACATATTTAATTCAAAATTCATTACATTATAATAAATCAATCAAAGTTAATTAAAAATCAAAACCCCTCTTTTGCATAATTTCTAACTTTTTATCTTGAAAATACACTGCAGAAATTGGATCCAAATTAGAAATATCCATTTTCATAATTTGTTCTTCTTTCTCAATCCTGTCCAATTCTTGTTTCTTTTGACTTTATTGAATCATCATGGCTTGTTGCTCTAACATAATTTTCCTGTCTTGTTTCTTCTGATCCTCAATTTCAACTAGAGTATCCCTGAATTATTGTAAGAGATTTGTTACAGTTACATCCTCAACTTTATCTTTTCCTTGTCTACATTTAAGTCGTTCCTTTGCAGCCTTCTGACCGATTGGTCTATCTTGATAAATCAATGGTTCACTATCTTCTCCTAAACTAACAGAATCAGGGGTAGATGGAGTTGATGAAGCCGGACTTGCATTGATATGACCTTTTTGTTTTTTGTTTGACCTTTGATGTTGACTTACACGCTCAAATTACCATTTGAGTTCTTTTCTTAAGATAACCCAACAATGTTCTAGTTGAAATCGTTTGCCAACACAAGAAGCATATATTTACCGAGCATCATTAATCTAGTAAATAAATAAATAAATAAAATAATGTTAAAATATATGTTAAACAATTTAACATAGAAATGAATATTAACATTACCCTTGATTCTTCGGTCATTCTACTTTGCTAACGATTTTCAATTTGAGTAACAAATCCAACGAATTTACCGACTTCTCTATTTATTTCTTGCCATCTACTTGAGATCCTTATGTGGGAATGATTATTCAAGTTTCCTCTATTCTCTACAAAGTAAGCATGTATATGAGCCCATAATTGTTTTGTTTGTTGCTCAACTCCCATAATTAGATCCTTGCTTATATTTAATTATGCAAAGACAAGTAAATTAAGTAAACAATCCTCCTCTAGTGATAATTTTTTACTTCTTTATGATTTTTTTGCCAAATGGACATTTAAATTCAAGCATGTTAAATCATCAATTAATTTATTAGAATCACTTGGTTGAGAGAGAATATTTTTTGACTCGTTCATAAGAAAGGTGGTAAAAGAACTTGGAAAATTTGAATCCATCCACAC